AAGACACTATAAGTTCAGAAGAGGAGAGAAACGCCAAGTTGAGCAAAGGTTGCTCATGAATTTTCAGAACCTTCGCTCCCTCAAGCTCATTCCCGAGTTCCCAAGTGATGTAAGTGGCTCACTCACTTCAATGTCCCCACTAACGATTTGAGCGCCTAAAGGCAAAAATAAAGGCAACAGTACACTGAACAACGCGTGAAGCTGTGTCGTATAAGAAACCCGTTTTCCACTTTAATATGGATATTTCGGGAATTTGCTACTCTAAAGCTTTAACTCAATCTGGATGCTCGAAAATTCAGTAGGCCTTGAATATTCTACTGCAAGCACAAGCCAAAAAAATTCCGGAAATTATTTCTTCCATGCATTGAAAGGAAACCTTTTACGAAAAGTCTGGCTTCTCCCGAAGGTAACTGAGGCTCCCACCAAGAGCGTCATCGGCAGAAGAAAAGCATCCAAATGAGTAACGATGCCGCTTTCTATAAGGTACCCGACAGGAGGCTCGTCGCGCGGTAAGAAGGCAGTGCCAGCGAACGAACGAGTCCTAACGTCCGTTGACGTTGCCTTCTTACCGCACGACGGCCCTCCTGTCGAGGTACCCCTTTCTATAAATAGCTTCAATAAAGCTGAAGAACGCTTTAAGCAATGTTTCTACTGTTACACACATTTGACGACGTCGCGTGTTCGGGCAATCTTAGCCGCGTCGAGCAGGAGGGAAACCGATTCTTGCCGAAAAGACAGCCGAATTGAGATGGTATCACTTTCGTGAAGCTGACACAGTGCACATATAAAATGACTACTATCATGCAGAGATTAGTAGAGAGCCGTCCGATGATAGGAAGTTGAAGGGTTTTGGTCATGGAGGTCAGACAATCAAAAAGATGTCCAAGCAATAATTCTATACTCAACAGGAATCAATGACTAGGTATTCAATGTTGAAAAACGAAAACAGGAACAGGAAAAATTGTTGAACCACCCTTCATCTCTGTGATAAGGGAGTTATTTAGAAAAAGAGGTTCTGGAATGGACTGCACAAAATTTACCCCATACATCGCATATAGTCCATATCCGAGAGTTGGGGTAGGCGTGTCACCGGAAGTGACGTGCACTTGATAGAAGTTGCGTGGATAAGCTGTTGCCAGCATGCTTTGCTGATATCCAGCGATGTATGTTGGAAGCAGCTTATCCACGCACTTCTATCAAGTGCGGTGCTTCCGGTGACACGCCTACCCCAACTCTCGGATAGGGTCGGTCCTACGTTGCTACAAGTAGCAACGGGGGGTCGTACTTTGATGAGTTTTTGGAGAGGGGGGGTCGTACATTTTGATGAGTTTGTAGAGGGGGGTCGTATATTTTTATGAGGTTGTAGAGGGGGGGTCGTACTTGCTTCGATTTTTTTTTCGAACCCTCCCCACCTAAGAAATGAATGTAGGATTAAATTATTTAAAGCAACAGTTCAGGAACGGTTTCGCGGGAAAAAACCACCAATAATGAAGTTGTAGATGAAAACCAGACGATTAATGTATGAAAAACTGGAAAAAAACGTCGGGGAGGGTCTTAGACAGGTACTCTCCCTCTGCCGCTCAGCAATGGATAAAGACGCACGTTGGACGAGTTGTCTGAACGTGCCCGCTGTAAACGCGCTCCATTTTTCAATCAATTTTCCCTGTGGTCCCAAAACGAGCACGATTGCCGACGCGTCCAATGACGGCCGGCAAGGGGGCGGGATTGGGGAAATCCCCAAGAACACCCATGTTTGAGGGACTTTCCACCCTGTTTTTGAGTTTCTGAGGTAAGTTCGTTTATTATTTCCACTGCATATGTTCTTCACTAGGGCTCGTGTATCCCTCAGTAGTAGTGGCATTGAAATTTTCGGACCCTCCCTGAACTGTTGCTTTAAGTAAGACGGGTAAATTGAGGGAATTTAGGTAATTTTTACGGTTTCAGAGTGACTATATACCCCCCCCCGCTCGACGGCATTTTTGGAGGAAAAAGTGGGCGGAGTTTTCGTGGGTTGAGTGATACCAGAATGAAATACTATAGCGAGGAATATGGTGGTCGAGGGTCGAGAAGGGGGTCGTACCAAATCCACCTTTGGGGAGGGGGGTCGTAAAAATTTTTCGAAAAGTAGCAACGATAGGACCGACCCTGCTCCGGACTCGGATGTAACAAGTTATCATTGCGTGCCTGATTACCTACAGATTGTCTTAGCTTGATCACACTCATAACCGAACAGTACCAGCCTACTCTGTTGGTGACCTAACATAAAATACTCACGCACATTCATCCCAATCTCTGTGGAGTGCCCGTGCAATAATCTGATGATCCTGGCGAATCCCTGTTTCAGGTACCAAAAATAAATCGACCGGTAAAATCGCTAGGATGTACCAAAAGCGTCCCACTAGAGTAAAACGGGGTTTCTTCTGATAGCCCAACCGGATGTAACGGTAGCAGCGCTTGGACAGCCAAACACTATCGAATCGCTACCGGTACTGTTGAGGTGGCTGATATACTGCTGATGAGTGATACGTTCCTGTGGAGTATAGCCAAGCACCCTGAGCACATCTGACGGCGACTTGCAGTGAAGCTTCCATCAGATGATGGAGTGAGCGGCAAATGGCGACGAAGTGCTGCTTGCCATCGGCTGAGGCTGTAAATAATCTGAGAATCATGAAGGCTGGAAATTAGATACATTTGCGTCTTAGATCGTACTGAGTACCTCACATAATTTAAATATTTTAGTTTCTCTCGGAAAAAAATTAATTAATTAATTTAGGTACTGTACTTCCAGAAAAACTTTTTGTGGAAAGCGGTGCAAAAAGAATCCATCAAAAAATTTTTCGACCATTTCTCAACCCGCCGACATCTCTTACCAGGAAGGTCTTTCAGGACATGGAGCCCTTTTTGAAAACGGTTTTTTGCATGATAAAGGGGCACATGCATGGAGTACAAAACTAGGCTCCATTTTTTCTGAGCGGCCCTCTGAATGCCAAAAAAGGAGTGAAAAAAATTTCTTCAGAAATCGGAGTTTTCACACCTTCAACGTGGTTTATATCACTCGTTATGTTAAGTGGACGCACAATAGAAGGTTTTCTTCACCTGAACGTTGAAAACAGCGTGGAATAAAGCCAATACCAAAAATTGTATATAATAAGTGCTCAAAAGCACAAGGAAGTTTCATCAGAGTCGTTGACATTCATTACACAGCGGTGGTCGGATGGTCGAGTGGATAGCGTGATGGACTCTGGTTGGCACGGTTTGTTCGAAGTTGTTGGTTCGGTTCCCCTCCACGCTCGGATTTTTGCATTTTTCCGATTATCACTTTTTTGCATTTACATGTGCTTGCGCGTGAACTTAAAGCCTATAGGTGTCATTTCCAAGAACTTTCTCCCACAATTCTGCGATATTTCGTAGTACCATGTTTTTCAGTTGTGTACGAAATTCCGTTTACAAGCAATAAATAACTAGCAGTATGGTAAAAACTCAATGAAGCATCTGAATCACAGGCGCAGATCACACCAACTGCATCTAACGAACGCCAGAAAAGTGAAGTTGCCATTTTCTTCGCAAGGAACACCTACTCCATTTCCCTTGAAGGCAGATTGCCGGCGTTGAGGAACGTCCAGGATGCTCGTCGACGTATGCCAGTGCCCACCCAGGCATACGCCATGCATCGACGAGATCAAGGGGTGATGCCAGATTGCCCCATGGGCAGGAACTGCGGTGGAAGTGTAACTATCAACCAAACGTGCCGCTTGCTATCATCTCGAAGCTGTCTCCAAGTGGGAAGCGTGCATGCCGTACTGACTATGGGCTAACCCATGGCCCAATTTTTGAATTCGGGCCGAAATCTTGATCTTCTCTAAAACTGCGGCTATAAGGGTAATTATAGGCGCTGATTACGAATCTGACGTCCATTTTTGATGGAGGCGCGATATTGCGCCATTTTAGCCTCCTCGGGCACCAACTCGGCGCCGCTTTAGCGCCATACAATTTTCGCCCCAATTCTGGGCAGAAAGCTAATCAGAAAGGTTGATGATGACCCTGATTGTAAGAACAGTACCTATTTTTATCGGCGGTAACATTTGGAGTATTTAACATGCGCTAACATGAAATGCAAAATTTTGTCATCAGCCGGGACCGATCCCTCGACCGATTTTTCATACCTTTTTTGGCATTAGGAGGGCCGCTCAGAAAAAATGGAGCATAGTTTTGTACTCCATGCATGTGCCCCTTTATCATGCAAAAAACCGTTTTCAAAAAGGGCTCCATGTCCTGAAAGACCTTCCTGGTAAGAAAGGGGCATATCACCCAGCCGATGACACGTTGCTTCAGTTTCGAATGATTATCTCAATCGCCTCATACTCGGAAGTGAGCATCAGGGTCCGTTTTGGAGCAAATTTTCCAGAATTGGTGAAACTGTGAACTTCAATGCTCGCTGTAAATCAAAATCATGCATGCTGAAATAGGCGCAGCTTTGAAAAGGGAGAGGAATCAGCTGAGCATGAGCGTCGCGTAATGACGGGTACCCGACAGGAGGCCCGTCGCGCGGCAAGAAGGCAGAGTCAGCGGACGAGTCGCAGCGCGTGATGTGCGATGTAGGACGTACAATGGGACATTCTATTTAACTTGACGCGAAATCACTACAGTACGCGCTGCGACTCGTCCGCTGACTCTGCCTTCTTGCCGCGCGACGGGCCTCCTGTCGGGTACCCCGTCCGTACATAAAAATGGACGTCTGGTGAACTAGGCCCTAAGCACGCTAAAGAGTACGGTCAGAGCCTTTCCACCTATCATGCTGTTACAAAATAGTGTGAAAAAACCGCTCCCCCTCCCTCCAGCCATCGTTTTCGATGCCTTCAAATCACACTCACACAAAACTGACCGCTCGGAACCGCGAGCTAAGTGTTTATAAATGTGGACCACGCACTTTCGGATGCATTCCCTGCGCTACCAGTACCAAATGTACTAGTTTGAGATCAATAGTAAACCACCACTCACGGCCATTTTCACATATTTATGCTTCATTTAGTTGAACCGTGTGAAAGCTTCGAACCTGTACATGGTTTGCAGCTGTACCGTATTCCGCCATCGGAACTGTCGGCAGCACTGTCTCCGAAAATGTGTCACGACATGTCACAACGGCGATTCGTAGTGGTGTAAAACTGAAGTGAGGATCAATATATCACTCGAAAATCAGGAAGCTCCTTTCAGCGGACAAAAAAGTTAGCTCTAAAGCTCAAAAACGTCTCACCGAACCTCATCTCACAAGAACTGTCCAGTGGTCCTGAATGCGTAATATTTGACTGAACGAGGCGAATTCGATGATGATCTGCACCGATCTTATACTTTTCCACCAGTTGTGAAACAGGTACCAGCGAGTGCTCGGCTGTCAGCACATATTCGATCTGAAAAGGAACAATAAATTTGAGCATTATAGTACTTGAACTCTAATAAATAATGGGAACCCGAAAAAATAAGAGCATCCATC